CCATATGGGTGCCAGTTCGAGTCCTGGAACGATGAAGGGGGGCAATCCAGCTCTCTGGAAAAGCAGTGGAAAATGGCTCAAGTCCTTGAGCCCCTGCACCCACGTGGGAGACCTGGAAGAAGCTCCTGGCTCCTGGCTTCGGATCAGTACAGCTACGGCCATTGTGGCCAATTGGGGAGTGAGCCAGCGGATGGAAGACCTCTCTCTCTCTCTGCCTCTCCTTCTCTCTCTGTGTAACTCTGACTTTCAAATAACTTTTAAAAAGTTTTACTTTGGTGCAACTTTTTTTTGAAACTTATGCATAATTTTTTTAACTTTTATTTAATAAATATAAATTTCCGAAGTACAGTTTATGGATTACAATGGCTTTTTCCCCCCATAACTTCCCTCCCACCCGCACCCCTCCCATCTCCTGCTCCCCCTCCCATTCCATTCGCATCAAGATTCATTTTCATAATTTTTTTAAAGATTTTTAAAAGAGTTACAGAAAGGGATTGATCCACTGATTCAATCCCCAAATGACTGCAACTTCTAAAGCTGGACCAATTCGAAGCCAGGAGCTCTCCAGGGGCTCCCATGTGGCTGCAGTGTCCCAAGCACTTGGACCATCTTCCACTGCTTTCCCAGGTGCATCAACAGGGAACTAGATTGGAAATAGAGCAGCAAGTACCTACTTGGGATGCTGGCACCACAGGCAGCCACTTTACCCACTTCCCCATCGGCCCCTGCATAGTTTTTTATTTATTTATTTATTTATTTATTTATTTATTTATTTATTTATTTTTTGACAGGCAGAGTGGATAGTGAGAGAGAGAGAGAGACAGAGAGAAAGGTCTTCCTTTGCCGTTGGTTCACCCTCCAATGGCCGCCGCGGCCGGTGCGCTGAAGCCGGCATACCACGCTGATCCGAAGGCAGGAGCCAGGTGCTTCTCCTGGTCTCCCATGGGGTGTAGGGCCCAAACACTTGGGTAATCCTCCACTACACTCCCTGGCCACAGCAGAGAGCTGGCCTGGAAGAGGGGCAACCGGGACAGAATCCGGTGCTCCGACCGGGACTAGAACCCAGCGTGCCGGTGCCGTAGGTGGAGGATTAGCCTAGTGAGCCGCGGCGCCGGCCCCTGCATAGTTTTTTCATAACACATTTTCCAGAACTTTTTGAGGATTCTTCATATGCATAAAGTTAAAAAAAATTAAGATTTATTTTGAAAGAGTTACAGAGTGAGACACCCACAGAGAGAGAGAGCGAGCGAGCTTTGATCCACTGTTTCACCCCCAGATGGCTGCGATGGCCAGCACAGGGTCAAGTGAAAGCCAGGAGCCTGAAATTCCATATGGATTTTCTGCATGAATGGCAGGGGTTCAAATACTTGGACCACCTTCTGTTGCTTTCCCAGTTGTTATTAGCAGGGAGCTGCATTGGAAGTAGAGCAGCCGGGACTCAAGCCGTTGTCCATATGGGATGTCCACGTTGCAGGCAGCAGTCTATCTGCTATGCCATAATGTCTGCTGCTCAAAAATTCTGCATGAAAATAAGCTTAGTCTTTTTTTTTAAGATTTACTTTATTTTTTGAAAGGCAGAGTTAAATAGATAGGGGAAGAGCCTGGAACTCTATTCAGGTCTCCAAGCACTTGGGCCATCTTCTGTTACCTTCCCAGGCACACTAGCTGGGAGCTGGATCAGAAGTGGAGCAGCCAGACCTTGAACCAGTGCCCATATGGGATGCCAAATAGGCAGCATTTTAATCCGCTGTGCTACACAATGGTCCCTAAACTTATCTCTTAATTCCGTTTCCATGAAATTTTTGAAGTACTATCATTCAATCTGGTGAATGTCTCAACTTTCCATTTTAAAGGCTATTATCTGTGATTCTACATGAATCTTAAGCTACTGCTTAAAATTACCTGATTTTTGTGGCCACAAGATTAATGCAGTCTCTGTCTTACGTTATCGCTCTGCATGGTTGGGTGCCCTGGCCCCACCAATCATTTTCAGAAGCTCTTCCAGATAAGTGAGAGAGGACTAAGGAAAAGAGGTTGTGTGCCTCAGCCACTCAGGTAAGTGTGTCTGAGTTACATAATTTTCTTGCAGTGATGCTAGGCTGTTTGTGCTCGGGTAAGTGTCCATGCAGATTTGTCCAGTCCTCTTCTTCAGAAACAGAACCATTGTCAGGACCACATAGATAAGTTCAGGGCATCCTAATGTGGTATGAGGTGACTGGTGTTCTGTGGAGAGCAGCCCCTGCTTTGGTCCCGTGTAGTATCATTGGAGATGGTGCTAATATCTCTTCTGTATCTAGAGATAGGGACCACAAATGGTGGCAGGGTTGCTGACTAACTCCATGGTAGACACCCTGTTTCTATAACCTATGCCTTTTAATTGGACAGTTCTTCTTTCTGCCATATTTACTTGTTTTCTTCTTCTGCATTGCGGGTGCCACTGTTATATACATATTGGCATTAGACTGCTTTGGCTTCAAAGAAACCTGATTTTGACGTTTTAACACTAAAGTTTTGATTTTTTTTTTTTATTTTTGGAATGCCAGGAGCTGGCAGCAGAAGGATGTGGACTGGATTGTAGTAAGAAAACTTCTGGAGTCAAGGGAGTGTTGGAGTCCTGCTCAGGTGTCTTTGTTTCAGGTATGAGGATGTGGATCTGAATTAATTATAAGGCCAGCTTTATGACAAATGGGGAAACTAAGGAAGAACTGATGTACTGACTGCATGGTAGGGCATGGCAGTCTGCCAATCAGCCCCACTCATGGCATTTACTTGGTAGGGATCCTGAAGGCATAGGGTAGCAATGAAAGTAATTTGTAGGTCAATACTTGTCCACATATTTACACTTGGTGACATTATTGCCCATTTCCTT